GATATATATTGATATATATTGATATATATCACAGTAATGATGTATTTTATTGTCTCTCATGTAATTTACAAACTTAAAAATGGGAGGTGAAAGGGCCTCATAAGTGGAATAGCCTAGGGCCTCTTTTCATCTAAATCCGGCCCTGCACGCATGCCATCTCTCCAGGCATGCAAAGCCGTCGCCCGTTGCTCTTCTGGGTTCAGGTGCGCCGGTCAGCTGGTCTTCACACGCGCGGGAGTGCTGGAAAGCGGAAAAGCTGCCCCCTGGTGGCCATGCACGCGGGGGGCAGGTGCTCTTTCTGGTTTCTGATGCTCAGGCACGCAAGGAAGACCAGCTGGGCACGGTGCATGAGCCGGAAGCTGGAAGATCATCTTCCCGGCACGGGCATGCGCAACTAGGTAGCTACTCTTAACGGTTTCTGGCCTGCGTGCACGCCCATTTTGGCACTCAGGGTTGAGAAGTTTGACCCACACTGGTCTCGAATGATTGACAGCTGCCAAAAGGGCTCCAGAAAGGGCTGCTTTTAATGCTGCGGGCAGCAGAATGCCGCCAGCTCCAAGAATCCATCCTTTCGGATGGGCAGTTCTTGGGTATCTTGCTTGGAAAGGAGCCTTACCCGCAGCACCAGGACTCCCATGTGGGTAACGGCCAAGTTGATCTGGGTGCCTTCTCCATCACTGGCAGGGTGGGGACGAATGCCATACATCTCCAGCTTCCTCGCTATGTCCAGGAGCTGCACATCGGATTCGGCCGGAGTTTTGCCCCTGCAAAAAAAAGAGAGGGGACGGGCTCAGCAACCGAGCTGGAGGGGAAGGGGCTGGCTGTGTGCCCAAACCTATTTTTGGGCTCAACCAGGACGTTTTCCTCCCAGTTCTCTTGCTCCCAGTTTGGGGCCCGGAAATCTCTCCCTTCTCAAGTTCCCGATTTCCAGTTCAAAAAGTCCCGTGGAATGAAACTTTCTACGAGCGGAAGTTTTAATTTCATTCAAGCTCTCCCTCGCAAGGAACCCTGAGCCAAAGTAAAAGGTCTAGCTCTGATGACGTTGCCTAGCTGGGTAATGAGACGCCTGCAAGAAAACACAGGAGTTCAGAGAGCACCAAGGAGCCCGCAGCTCTCCTCCTCCTCCTCCTCCTCCTCTCTTCCTTATTGCAAACGCCACCCCCCCTTCCAACACTGATGCTGTTACCTAGATGGGCCATGAAATGTCTGCAAGAAAGCAGATGAGCTCAGAGAGCATGAAGGAGCCCTTAAAAAAATTAAAAAGCGTGTGCGGAGGAGACCGGACACTTACATGTGCTTCTTATGATAGCACATGATGCTGTTCCTGAGATCCTCTTGGTTTGGCAAGTATTTGTGCGTTTCCAAGTGCTTTCGGTCCATTTCTTCGTGGAAATCACCCAGCGCAGCTGCAGGAACAATCGACACAATGAAGAATGTTTCTGGTCAACGGGATTGGCTTTATTTGGAGGTCACACACCCTGGTCCATGCCCCAAAGGGTCAAGGTTCCTCTCGCACATATGCGCTAGCCGTTTCCCGACTCTAGGGGGAACGGTGCTCATCTCCGTTTCAAAGCCGAAGAGACAGCGCTGTCCGAAGACGTCTCCGTGGTCATGTGGCCGGCAGGACTCAACTCCCCCGAAGGCGCACGGAACGCTGTTCCCTTCCCACCAAAGGTGGTCCCTATTTTTCTACTTGCATTTTTTACCTGCTTTCGAACTGCTAGGTTGGCAGAAGCTGGGAAAAGTCATGGGAGCTCACTCCGTTACATGGCGCTAGGGATTCAAACAACCAAACTGCCGACCTTCTGATTGACAAGCTCAGTGTCTTAGCCACTGAGCCACCTCACTTAATAACTGTCTTGCTTAGTGACAGAAATTTTGAAGCTCTCTTGTGGTTGTAAGTCAGAAACTACCTGCAGTGCTTTAAACTAGCATTGGTGAAGGGGTACAAGGAGAAAACAATCATGGTGTTATCACCAAGCCGGTTAATGAAGCTGAAAATTGCTTCTTTTAAGTTCGGCTGACCGTGCGGCTCTTCCATCTAACATGGGCAGTTTCCATGACAGCAGCTGCTGAACCTATAACCAGAAAAACTGATGTGGAAAAGCTCCATGCCAGATAGAAACATCCCACAGTAAGTGGGTCAGTATGAAACTAGCGCCAGGAAAACTCATAACTTAATGCAGGCTTCTTT